TATTAAATAATCTAGGTCCTATTTAGGATTATATCTGAAAAATCCAAATCTGGCCAACACCCACCCTAAACCTAAACCTGTTCTAATCCACCTGAAATGACTAACGTATGGAAGACTTTGACTACCCAGCCATGCAATAGTCTCATTCCGTGCCTTTTGGCAACTTGATGATTCTATTGCGCTCATCTTCTTGCACCACCCAGGGGAGACTTGGTCCTGTACCCAATGCTTAACTTATCTCCTTTCCACTCAGCTACTCGCAATTTCTTGTGATATAGTGGGCGGAATATTATTATATGAGACAATTCAATGCAGACGTCTTTCCAAATTTGGCAGATCGACAGGTAATCGGTGAGTTACCACGATAGTTGCTATTCAACAACTCGACAACGTCCCATCGTCAACGCCTGCTATGAGAATTTCCCATTGCAGACGCCAACGAAATGACGTCATCGAGCTATCGATCAACTACCCTGGTTATCGCCTGGTACCTTAAAGCACGATGCTAGGAGGCGAACCGGAAGAATCGATGAGCTACCTCCCCCAGGGTGTAACCATTTTTTTATGACTGCAAAAAGTTTGAACTCTGGAGTTCGAAGGTGATAGCTTTACCGTATACCCATTAGCCCATTTCAAGATCGCATGCTTTCGAAGATTTTGCTTACAATAAGCCCTGCTCCGGTACAGTATCGATGCTGATAATGTACTGAAACTTTCTATAAAACAGTAGCGCAAAATTTGATTGACGCGTATTTAATGTATTAAAAAAATATTTACGATAGAATTACCACAAAAATTAAGGAACGAGCTCACCAAATTAGTATCCAGAAAAGAACGGCACGGCTTAAGGGGGTATTCCCAATCTTTTGCCTTTTTTCGGCCTGTTCTTCAATTATTTTTTTTTCAAGGAAAATGAATAGTAATGCGCCTAACTCTTTGGGATTCTTGTTTATTGAACATTAAAGTTTACAAATAAATTTTTTTCGACATAAAAAAGACATTATTGACGTCACAAAATGGCGGCAAACAGACCCCTGTTCGCCGCAAACGCCTGGACGGGCGAAGACTTTTCTCTGGAACGGCTTCATCTGAAACAGATTCGTGATGAAATTAATAATCTGCATAAGATTCTCTGGAGCTTCTCCCGTTGGCAGCAAAAAATCTTGCAAATCAACAAAATGGCGGCCATATGAAAAAACAGGCGATTTTTAGCCCGCTTTTTTGCAGCTTTAAGGTGCTTCAAACAATGTTAAATGTTAATATTTTTGGCTAGAAGTGGGAGAAGCTCCAAAGAATTTAATAAGGAACAAAATGCGCAAAGATTCAAGTCAATATCTCTTATAGTTTCTGAGAAAAATCTTCGCCCGATAAAAAAAATGTGGTTTCGAGAAAAACGCGTTTAAAGTTTTGACTTTAGTTAAAATCATTTGGGGGTTCTTACCATTAGTCAGCTATGCCTGGACACCGAATTCGCTGATCGGAAAACGGCTTGGGGGGATGAAAGTATATAGTCTAAAGTACAAAAAAACATGAAAAAAAAAATTTGATTTTTTGAAAAAAAAGATCGGGAATACCCCCTTAACAGGGTTTAACCAATGGGAATCTTTTCTTTCCATGCTGATTTCACGGTCTAAATCACTCGGTTCGTAGAAGCAAAGCCACTGAACCTAAACGACAACCAGGAACAACGTATCGACATTTTCCTCCGCATCATATTCTTGTTACTGATTCTGTTTAAACATTTTAGGCTCTGCATCTCCACGGTTCTCACGGGAAGGACGTGTTGGTGGGAAGAGTGAATTAGATCTGTATTCAAGATGGAAAGTGATGCGATCCAATGATCCAGAAGTGAGAATGATGCTAGGATGCTACCCTGTCAAATCAGTACTGTAAAGTGGCTTGAGATTAACCCCAATATCTTGAGCTTAGTAAGCAAAAATGGTTGCCACTAGACCACCGAGCTCCTTACATTACAAAATACATTTTGTATAAATTAATATAGGACCGGCAAAAATCAATCAAATATAACATACTGCCACTTAAATTATAGACTGTAATATGAACTAAATCATTATTAATTGTTTATGAGAAAATTAGAAGTTACTGATGTTAGCCTCAGGATTACCATGTAATTTCGATCAGAATTATCAAAGCGTTCGTCTTACCAGAAACTCTCTTAAACTCTTTTAAATTCTTCTCAAAATTATTTTCGATTTCTAGGCAGAAATCCTTGAGAAGTCTCTTTAAAAATATCTTGAAATTCTCCTCAGAAATCCTTTGGAATTTTCTTGAAACTATCCTACGACTTTATGTTTGGTATTTTTCTTGGAACTGCCGTGAATTATGTTCTCCTAAATTCTGTTTCTATTTCTCTTTGAATTCTCATGATAATTATTTAAAGATTCTACTTAAAACTAACCTACTGTTTTCCTCAAGATCCCTAGAATTTCTCCTCACAACTCCCATGAAATTATTTTAAGAATATCATAGCAATTCAGTTTAAAACCTACCATCTTCTCTTCAGAAAAAAGTTGGAGTTCATCTCAGAATTAAGTTGGAATTCTAGGCAAAACATCGAAATTAACAATCAAATTATTTTTAAATTTCTCTCAAAATTCCATAGGTATTCGCGTCAGAATTCTATAGATTATTGTTTGAAACCTGATCATTCTTCCAAGTCCCAGAGCTTTGACAATTTTCATAGACCAATTATAATGCTTGTTTGGTTCAAATCTAGGATCTTGGACATTTTTCAGAATACCTCATTTTAAGTAATCTTAGTCCCAGATTGTTAAAAAATGTTTATGGTTTTTTTTTTTAATCTAGGGTCAGGAACCCGGGGGCAACAATCACGAATTTTGGCGGAGCTCACATCAATGTGATAAATATAGTGGGTGAGGAGGATGACTGCAACAGACTACTCTTTCTAGCATTCAGCACTGCGATGCAAGTGTGAAAGAGTAAGTTGCCTTGTTCTGTCGTGCCTCCGTCAGTTTTACCGCTGTCAGTATGTCCAAAAGTGTCAGATTGTCCAAAAATGTCAAGATCATGTGAGCTATGGTGCATCTATATGTGGTTGACAGGGATAGGGTCCCCCTGGTAAGGAAGTGTGTATAATACTCTAAATAAATGTTAAAGCTTCGGAATTAATTAATTTTTCTTAAATCCTTTCTGGCTCCCAAGATTTTCAATAAATTTCTCTAGATCTCATCTGTTATATTGTACGTTAAGTTCATGATTTCTAAAACATTTTCTTAATTCAATCTCTCACTTTTTACAATTCAGACAAATGGTGAATTCAGTCAGTGATCTTACCAAAATCCATTAGTATATTCTGAAGCTTTGAAGATATATGAGGTGTCAAGCTCAACCCATGCGTACTCAACCTGTTACGCCTATTATTTTTACTGAGATCAGTGTAGAGATCTGCAATTGTCATTAAAAGACTTTCACGCGATATTGACAAACAAAAATTTTACAGACTTGATCCTCAAATAAACCTTTGTCAAAATCTCATTCATTTTTTCGTCAATGACACCTGGCAACAAAAAGTGTAACTTCTTGTATTCTGAGTCACATTATTGTTATCTGTAGATGTAGACGTAAATGCTTGTTCACTTCAACGGTTCGATGTAATTGTTTTGCTCAAGTCATTTAATTTCGTTTCAAATTTAGCTAATAAAAAAAAATCAGCACTTGTTTGTCACTGACACCATTGTTACTGACAATTGATATGGTTTGCCTTGACGATGACTGTTAGCTCAAATGAGTAACCAAAGCAGAATTTTGAATATCGCCGTGTATAGTCGAGATTTTACAACACTGGCTGAGATATTGCTTTCATTTCGTCATTTCTTGACCGATTTAGATGAAACAACTTCCAATCGATCAGGAATTAATTTTAATTTTATAATGGTTGAGCATAACTCTTGCAGAGTTTGAGAAAAAAAATTCGTGGTGCCAAAGCAATTTATTTCAATGGTTAAGGATCACTTCTTACACGCTGAACTGAACGATCCATTATTATTATTATTATCTGGCCCATAACTGTGGGATGACTGTACAAGGTATATAATAGATCAAATTATAAATATTGATGATTTTTTTTAGAATATATCAAGCGACCTATAAAACTTGGAAATTTTTATGATTTGAGTCAGAAAAATCTTGAAAAAACTGGAAACTTACTGGCCACCCTGGTGTTCTGTACTTTACCATTGCGAAGTGAAATTATCAAAATCAATATAGGGGAAATGGCTCTAATGTTGGCCTATGGATCTAAGATTGGGCCCATCGCTAAAAATCTGCTATTTATAATTTTTATCTAGATGAACGCGTCATTGGGACGGTACTAATGGATATTTTTGGTCGCTATTGAAAATTTAGTCGTTTGCTGAATTTATGTATGGGTCCAAATTAGGGGCATTCAGGCCGATATTAGATCCATTTCCTCTACTCTCCTCGTAATTATCTTGGAATTCTCTTTAGAATTCCCTTGGAAATCTCCAAAGAATGTTCATGCAATCCTTTTTAGAATCCCTGCACAACTATTCTGAGAATAAGATTTCTTTCAAATTGATGTAAAAATTCTCCTCAAAAATGTTCTAACTGAAACATGTTGATGCATACGGCATTCTCAAACTGAAATGCATCTCATGTGTCAAACCAACTGTCAAATGCATTTAAATTGCATCAATGTTCATTATTGTGTTCATTCGGTTCACCTTGACATTTTGAAATGCATTAATTTGGCAGATACCTAAATATATTTTAACTGAAACTTCTTTTAGTTAGCGGACTTTCTGCTAAAATACATTTCAGAAGTCTTTCAGTTAGCGAACGTCTAGCGTTTATGTTGAACTTTTCGCAGCGTGTAGTGTCCATTAAATATTGGGAATCTAATTTATAAAAGCAAATTTTTATCAACCTTATATAAGAGCATTGTTTATAAAAAAAAATATCAAAACTTACTAACCTGTTTTCTCTTTTTTTCCTTCCAGATGATTCTATCGCGGAGCACATCGAAAAGTTTTAATTTAAGGCAGTGAATCTACACTTTCTCTCGGTTGTTGTTGTTTTTTTTTTAATTGGTGAACGGGTTGCGCAGCATCGCATCCAATAGCTACTCGAAACAGGCTCCCAAGGAAGCCGCGCAGTGAACAGAAGTGCGAAGCATCGATTTGCGAGCTCCACTTCCCCGACGATTATTACATTTATATATATTTATCTATTTATTTTATTGTGATCTGCTACTAAGTGTTTGATAAGAGTAGCAAATTGGGTTTTATATTTTTCATCTTCTGATTCACAATTTTGAAGAAAGAGAAAAAAGTGTGGCAAGTGGTGCGCTTTGAAAGCCCGGTGTTCGGTTTAGTGTGAATGGTAAGAAAGGAAGAAAATTAAAAGCCTCGACGAGTTTGTGCTTTTTTGGTTACACAAGGAGCAGATCGGAGCGTGTTAAAAGTGAGTTGCTGTGTGATAATTCGCCGCCCTGTACTCGTAGCTGACCCAACGACAACGCGAGGCAGAGCAGGAAGTGAGTCGAGCACTGCGTGTGTGTGTGTGTCGAGTGGGGTCAGTCCGAGCTGCCGAACAGCAGGAAGTGATTAGCCCACAGAGTGAGGCACGTTTTAGGTTTATTTTGGCGGAGCGTGTTGGCCGGTGTTGAATTGGAGCAACTGCATACATCAACAAATACCATACCACCACCACTACTACTCGCAGACCAAAACATGAAAATGGTGTTGTCCCAACGGCAGCGCGAGGAGCTGTAAGTTCAATTTTGTTTACTATATATGGCTCAGCCAAAAGGTTTGTAGAGGTCGAATGATATTGCACTCCAAAAATAATCGGAATCCATTAGGTAGGAAGAGAATCACGCGCTTTCGCGTTAGTCGTCGCATACATCAACAGATCATTTGACAACATATAACATCTCTTCTGACGGAAGGACGGCTGCTGCAGCGACCGCACTAATCTATTTTTGGGAAATCATTTGCTGCATGGCTTGCAGCAGCATCATCAGCAGTCGTTTTTCTCTCTTCTATTCAAAAAATTTGAGCTAGGTATTTCAAATTTATTATAGGATCGCCAAATTGGGAACGAAATTCGATGTTTTCGTCGTCCAAAAATAACCAACTGGCTGTGGCAAACAGTGCCTTCGGAGGGGAATACCTCTGTGCATGCACTTCCACCCATTTAGCTATGAATAGTTTCTGTGTGACCCAGATGCGGGTGGGTTTGAAGATGCGGAACTTTAGACCAGACAACGAACGGTCGCCCGCCATCGGGAGAAAGAGTCACTTAGCCACTTTCGGTTGCGAGAATATTTATTTTGAAAATATATCGCATCGATGATTCTTCGTTGCGGTTGGGCGGCCCACTTATGTTTGGAATCAAAATAAACAACAGAATCTACTGCTGGGACAGTGGGTTGAATCTGTTCTAATTGAGTGGTTTATGAAACATTTAAATATTTTAAGTATGTGGACATGTGAAAATTAGTTTAGTCGATCCGTATCTTCTGAATTTGAACTATGGGATTCCAGCTTCAGAGTGTCTACTGCCGAAGATGTTCAAAATATGGACTTATCTAGGAATTTTCATCACCCATTCATATACTGATATATCCTGATCAACTCCAGGGTCATTTTTTCCCTTGATTTGTTTTCCTTACTGAGTACCAGTGCTACCGGAACAAGGGAGGCAGCTCCCACACCTGGACCCTACCTATCGATCCATCAACTGTCTCAGAAAACGCTTACCACTACACCACCGGCGCCGCTAATGTGTAGGGTCATATCGGGGGATTGATTGATTTTGCCTTAGTCAAATTTCTTTCGATTTTTTTTTTTAAATCGTGTCCAGGGTTTGTCTTTGCTGCGTAGTCTACGCAGTTCTACGCCAAATAACGAATCGATCAGATACGACCTTCTCCGATTTCCTGAAACATCGCCTAATTGTTTGTTATGGTCAATCATTCATTTGAGATAAAATTCGGCAATTTTTAATCTCGAAAAAATCTTTGTTTATTAATTTATTTGATAAGGCTCAAACGAATTAACTTTACAGAGCCGAGGATTCTTGGTCACTATACAATTCATCTTAAAACTATAGTCAAAAGGTACAACACAATAAACACTATATCTTCCGCTATCCAAAAAGCCTCCTCCATCAGAACGGGAGCAGCTTCCAGTGGTTTCATTGTATGGCAGTTACGCCAACAGAGGTCAGAGCGCTTTCATTGCAGCAATGGACGCAAAACGTCATGAAATGGTTGCTTATCAAAGTCGACGATGCCTCGACCGAAAGAACTGCTGATGAAGAACAATGAGGAGGACCACACAATGGTTGCTGCCGAGAAAACATACGATCGCGTGGCACACATCGAGAGTGGCCTGCTTTTGTCGACAGCCGAGTGAACACTGACGCAAAAATCTTCACAATGGCGTATTTGATAGTTTTCAACAAATCATAACTCGAAGACATCACTTCCAATCAAAATTACGCCTGAGACTAAGTTTTAGGAAAAAATAATTCCTTTTCAGGATAAATATACAGAGGATCCCCGGGACATATTTTTCTATTTTCTTCATAGATTCCTGGATATTTTTTAAAAAGTGGTTTAGAGTAGTTTATTCGAACTTCTTCTAGAATTAACAATTTCAAGACCAACAATTGAAAAGGCCTCAATTCCGTTTTGTAAACAGACTTTGTAAGGCCATTTTCTCGCGAACCGGAAACTACATTCGCTAACCTGAATACAATTGGGTAGAGGAGAATTTCCCCTACCTGTTCATTTTGTTGGTTTGCGTTGGCGGTTTGTTTACAAAATGGAGTTGAAGTTTTTTTCAATTGTTGGTCTTGATTTAGTCAAGCTTCTGCATCCATTTTCTGCTGTTGCTTGTGGTGACATCTATAGGAAGTTACTCATAAGCTGTTTTCCTTTAGTTGTAAACAGAGGACAGTGCAGTGAAGAAGCCTAGAAATCTCTGTCACAGACTAAAAAAGTAGAAGGGTCTGTGACTAGGGGCACGAACGGAAGCTTGGCGTAGGACCGCTAGTTTACAGAGCAAATATGTGGATCATTTAGTTCTTAACTCTCCCCGTTTTTGAATTGGTGGCCGGTTGTTTTTCAAATGGTTGCCACACCAGTGCAAGTTGATGTCGACCGGATAACGGCGGCCTAGTCATGTTGCCTATTGCGGGAAGCCTTTCCTTCGGTAGATGTGAGTGCATTTTTCGTCGTCTTCGTATTAGTGCGATGCGTGCTGTTCCACTCATACGTCGTGTTCGACGCTTATCCGTCCGTTGCTCGAAAGCAAATGACAAAGAAATCGATTTGGCAAGCGTTTTTATTTTCGCTGCTCTTCTCCTCTCTTCCTTTCATTGGTGAAATGGTGAGTGATCACCCGAGCATTGAGCTCGCTCATGTGAGCATGCACAATGTGTCGTTTGTTCGATTTGCACTCTATAGTTGCGTCCGTGTTTGAAATTTTTTGTTACATGTCTGAATTTAGATTTTTTTTAATGTGACCCCCAGTATAGAAATTAAAGACGTAGTTCAACGTCAAAATAGATTACCTGACTCTACAAAACATGTCTGGTACCTCTATGCATGAATTTAGATTCACATGAATAATCCCTCCTATTTTGCAATCTCAACACACAAAATGCTTCTTAAGCCCCGCCACAATTAAATAAAAGAGCGTAAAATCCCGTTAGAAAATGTTCCTCGTACATAAATTTAACTTATAAATTTTTTATCGGAATTATTAATTCATTAGATGCTATGATGATATTTTGCTAGTGCAAGTTACAAGAAGAGGTTGTAAAGTTTGTGTTAGACACATGCATCCCTTTAATTTCGCTTGAAGAGAGTCACACACAATTTTACTATCGGTGAATATTCACGCTTAAATCGCTGATATTGGCTGGTTAAATGCGAGATTGACAGGTCTCATATGTCAAACACATACTTAAAAACTCCTTCTTGTAGCTTTAAAGTACAACATATCATCATAACATCTCATGATTTCATAGTTTCTAAGAACATTTTTCCAAAGCAAATTAATTCTTGATCAAAGATTAAAGTAAAAACAAGAAGAAAACTGTTGGACTCGCGATGATGACCACATGATTGAAAATATTGATTCATATGGAATGGATTTATTTCGCCGGAATTAAACAAGCAATATTCGTAATGGTTTGCTAATATATAAGATGTTCGATGTCCTATTAGCGACCATTTTTGCTTATTGATCAGAAGATCGTGGGTCAAATTCCAGGTTCCTTGCCATAACAGATTTTTTTGGTGTGTACAAGAGAACGTAGAAAATCGCTAATAATAGAACACGGTGGAAACTGACTAGGGAAAAAACATAAGTGTTCTCGGTAAAATATGTTGTATTCTTGATCTGGGTTGGAAAATATAGAGGGGCATTATTCCAATTAAATAGCTTTATGTCACCGGGTTTTTGAACGATCGTCGTTCTTTATGGTTTATTGTGATGGGCCTTCCTTAGCTCAGTCGGTAAAGGTGCAGCTGCAAAGCAAAACCATGCTAGAGGTGGTTGGGTTCGATTCCCGGTCCGGTTCAGGCATTTTTCGGGTTGGAAAATTTCTCGATTTCTGTATCGAGTATGACTGTACTTACCACACAATTATACTAAGGCATCGAAAACTCTCAATTAATAACTATGGAAGTGCATCTAGAACGCTAAGTTGAGAGCACACAATAAGCTAATATGCGATAAGCAATAAGCTTGAAATGCGGAGAAGAAGAATAATATGGTATGTAAGAGCTTAGTGAGGCTTAGCGAACGCTTTTGCAGGGTGGCCAGCAAACCGGGAAAACCGGGAAATATCCGGGAATAATTTGAAAAGTAACCGGGAAAACCGAGAAAAACCCGGGAATTCGGCGAGAGAACCGAGAAAAATAAATTAACCATGTCATAGTAACAAAGTTTTACACCAGAATTTCAGATTAAATTATTAAAACAGAGTGATCCTTTACCAAATGAATGTCTTGCTCTATTAGCTGCATTTTCTTCAGTTACAGTCTTATTGTTTTTACAATTTAATCACTCAGAAATATTGCAAATTATTTTTTGTCGTTTCCCTTTCAGATGTTAAGTGCATGGTCCTTAAAAGAAAATATTGAAGATGCTGAACTTGGGAAACAAATATTTGTAAAGACCGAAACTGAATTATTCTTTTCCAGGGTTTTAATTTTTCGTTGTTTAAAAGTCTCATGATATGAATTTCAGAGTTTACTTGGAATTCTGCTCTGAATTATCTAGAAATTGTTCTGAAATACTCCTCTCTCTCACTCCTCCTTCTCCGCGTAATAATTATCGTTGAATTCTGCTTTGGGAATTTCCTTGCAACTCCTTCTAAGAATTTAATTGAAATCCTTCTTAGAATTCCCTTGAGCCTCCGGAGACTTTGATTCCTTTGAAAATGTTTTCAAAAATTTCTTTTAACTCTATTCAAAATTGCAGAAATCTTTCGAAATTTTGTTTAGAAACTCCTTAAAGAATTTATTTATAATTATCAGCAAAATTTTTGCAATCCATTTTGTTGGAGTTCTGTGATGAATCTTTTGCACTAGGGTTGAAATTATTGCCAAAACACTCTCAGAACTCTGTTTCTGGTTGAATTCTGATCATTATTTCTTTTGAAATTCTTCTTAAACGTTATCTGTCATTTTCCTCACGATCCCCATACAAATCGCCTCAGAATAAAGTAGGAATTTTCCGCAAAGTTTTG